TCACTCACTCACTCACTCACTCACTCACTCGTTCATTCACTCATTCATTCACTCACTCGTTCATTCACTCACTCACTCACTCGTTCATTCACTCATTCATTCACTCACTCGTTCATTCACTCACTCACTCACTCGTTCATTCACTCATTCATTCACTCACTCGTTCATTCACTCACTCACTCACTCGTTCATTCACTCATTCATTCACTCACTCGTTCATTCACTCACTCACTCACTCGTTCATTCACTCATTCATTCACTCACTCGTTCATTCACTCACTCACTCACTCGTTCATACATTCACTCATTCACTCACTCGTTCATTCACTCACTCACTCACTCGTTCATTCACTCATTCACTCACTCATTCATTCACTCATTCACTCACTCCCTCACTCATTCACTCACTCACTCGTTCATTCACTCATTCACTCACTCACTCGTTCATTCACTCATTCACTCACTCACTCACTCACTCGTTCATTCACTCATTCATTCACTCACTCGTTCATTCACTCATTCACTCACTCACTCACTCGTTCATTCACTCATTCACTCATTCACTCACTCGTTCATTCACTCATTCACTCACTCACTCACTCGTTCATTCACTCACTCACTCACTCACTCGTTCATTCACTCATTCACTCACTCATTCACTCGCTCATTCACTCACTCACTCGCTCATTCACTCACTCATTCACTCACTCACTCGCTCATTCACTCATTCACTCACTCACTCACTCACTCGTTCATTCACTCACTCACTCACTCACTCATTCATTCACTCACACGTCCACTCATTCACTCACTCACTCACTCGTTCATTCACTCACTCACTCACTCGTTCATTCACTCACTCACTCACGTTCATCATTCACTGCTCATTCATCATTCACTGCTCATTCATTCATTCACTCATTCATCTTCATAAGTAGTTCTTCCCAAGAGCCCACTTGTGCCAGATCCACAGATGCAGGCACGGAGGGCAGATGGCTGGATAGACAGGGGGGTTCATTTAGTTTTTCACCATCAAATGAACCTCTCTGGGGAACCTATGGGTCTGCAGCACTGCAGATGGCTGGATGGGTGGCTCATGGACGGATGGACAGTGGACACATGGATGGGTGGACAGGTGGGTGCATGGATGCAGATGAGGTGTCCCTGGGGCAGGCACTGCCCTGGGAGCAGCCAAGCCGCCAAGTCCTCAGGTGGCTGCTTCTTTTTTCGGACACACATAGCCGCCCTGCTGTCCAAGGTGACATCTTCGGTGTCCCCTCTCACCAAGCAAATGCCACTGAGGACGGCTCTGCCTCCCCTTCCTTCTCTCACATGCTGCAGGTTTCTGACTCTTCAAAAAGCCACTTGTGCCCTCTCCAGTCTGTGGGCTCCTCAGGTTCAGGAAGGCTCTGGAGGGATCTGGGGCCCGCAGGGATCACAGCCCACGTTGCACTAAGCACCTGTGTTTGCCTGGCCCAGTGTGGCTCATGGGTCCCCCTCATGAGAGAACACGGATCACCTCCCCGGTGGAGAACATACTGCAGGCTACAGTGTAAGAACTTGTGAGATCACCTCCCCAGTGAGAACTTGACACTGGGCCCATGGACACTAATATGGGCCATAACATTGGGCCTGGACCATGGATACTGGACCTGGACCATGATACTGGACCTGGACCTGACATTGGACCTGGACCTGGACCAAAGGCTCTGTCCCTGGACCTGACACTGGATCTAGACCATGGATACTGGACATAGGCCATGGATGATGGTCTTGGACCACAGATGTTGGACCTGAACCATGGACACTGGACCTGGACCGTGACACTGGGCCTGAGCAGTGGGGGAAGGGCTATGCTCTCTGAGGGGCCTAGTCCCTTCCCTGCCTCCATCTTCCCGCAACACTTCCATTTCTCCCCGTACCCTCAACTTCCGTGTCTCCCACAGAAAGAGGCTGACATTCAGGAGTCACTCAGTGCTCAGGCACATCGAGGTCAATTCACCCAAACTCAGCCCCCACCCCCGAACCCTCTGCCCCAACCTGGCATTCTGACCCCAACCTTGGAATCATCCTCCCACAGCCCACCCCAGTCTCTGCAAACCCCAGCAGCTCCAGTAGAAGCACACCCCTCCATGCTGCTCCAAGACCCCTCATTCTGAGCCAGGAATGTCACAGCCCCCATCCCAGGCCCACAATGTGCTCAGGAGGCAGCAGAGGGTCCCCTAGCCCCGGTCACAGCCCCTCTGTGCAGCTCCTGCCCTGCAGGGGTAACGTCCAGCTCCGGATCTGCCCCATCCTCTCTGTGGTCTCCTCCCTGCAGCTCCCTCCACACTCTGCTCCCTGGGACACCATATCCAGCTGGGCCTTCCTCAGCTCCGCCAGGGCTGGGGTCTCCTGGGGGAGTCCAGCCCCTGGAAGCCCACCTCCACCATCCCGTGGATGGGCCCGCAACTACCTTTGGTGTCCATCAGCCTGACTGAGCCCCCCATGGGCCAGGGCCATTGCTGGTCAGCTCCTGCTCCAAGGAGCCCCTGCTGGGGTTGTGTGGGGGGAGCTCTCACCTCCCCACCTACCCCTGCCAGCCTGCGAGCAGCCCCCACAGTGCCTGGCAGGGCTGGGTCCTGATGGTGCAGACTGAGGTGTCCAGGCCGTCTAGGTTACTAGTATCCACCCCAGCTCCACTGCTGCTGCCTGTGCTGGCAGATCACTCTCTGAGCCTCAGTTTCCCCACCAGCACAGGGCCGACATGAACAGGCTGAGCACCTGTGCGCCCTTCTCCTTTCTTCAGGAGCTGCTGATTAAAAAGAAGAATGACAGAAAACCCCAGAATAGCTGGGTGAGGGTCCAGAGACCAACCCACCACCAGCCCAAGGAAGATGTGGGGGCAGGGGCAGGGGTCAGCTGGCTGGGCCTGGACAGAGTGGCCCCCCTTGTGGCAGCATGGCATCTGCTCCACTCCCCAGAGATGCAGTCCCTCAGGACAGGCTGGGCGTGTGGATGGAGGGGAGTGCTGGTGGGCAGAGGGACGGCACCAGGACAACTAGGGTGCCAGCACACACTAGGGGACCGAGGGTCCCAGGGGCCACCTGCCCTCCTATGAACCCAGTTGGATCTGGACACCCCTCCCCCAGCATGCCTGTGCCATGCCGCACCCACCGCAGGACCGAGGTCATGGTGGAGCTGCAGTGCTGGCCCGCCTCTGACCCACAGGAAGCCTGCTCAGGGAATCAGAGCATCCCCGGGCTGGGGGTGGACAGCAGTCCCCTGGCACAGTCACCCGGCACAGCACCGCTGGCCCAGCTCCCGCGCAGCGCCAGGCACCCTGTGGCTCTTCATAGCTGCCCAGGGTGGGGCAACCCACACAGGCCAGCTTGGGCCAGTGCCCACATTGTGGGGCAGGGCAGGCCGGCTGAGCTCCTGGGTCTCCCCCAGCAGAAGCTGCTAAGGAGGGGTGCAGCTGCTCATGTCCTGCACATGGGGTGGGGTGACAGTGCTGACAACAGGTACATGTGTGTCTGTGCTTGGTGCGCCCCTGTGCACACATGTGTGCGTGTGCACGTGTGACTGTCGAGTGTGTGTGCCTGTGTGATGTTTGTGCACATGTGCACACTTGCTCACACCCTGGTGGGTGCAGCTAGTGAACAGCATGCGGGCTGTGGGCTTGAGTACCAGGGACGCAGCGACCATTGGCCCCAGACCCCACCCAGCCCCCTGTCTTACTTTGCCTTCCCCAAGCCTGGCTTGGCCCTTCCGTGTGGGGCATTCCTTGTATGAGGGTCCTTGATTCTAGCTCCCAGGCCCTGAGCTCTTGTGACCTAGCAGAGACCCCACCCCACCTGTATCCTGGCTTGTGGCTGGCTCACAACAGGGGGTTGGTTTCTCAGCGGGTTTCCTGAGTGGGTCTGGGGCCTGCGGGTGGCATCGCTCAGAGGGCCCGGCCGGGCCGCTGAGCTCACGGCTGTACCCGTAGCTGGGCCCCAAGAGGGTAGTGCACAGGTGTTTGTCCCGGTGTGACTCGGGGCACCGTAGAGGAGGAAGCGGCCTCCAGGTGAGCCCCTTCCCCCCAGCCATGCGGTTGTGCTTTGACTGACAGCTTTGCCCCAAAGCTAGAACTCCGGGCCCCACAGTTACGGGGATGGACAGAAAAGTGGGTGAACAGACGGGCAGCTGGTGGCTGCCGAGAATCGGCGGAAGCCAGGGCGGGCGGCCGGCGGGTGGCCTGATGGTCCTGGAAATCCTCACTTCCTGTTTTCCCAACAAAGGACCTCTGTCCCCCCCAGGAAGGCCACTGGCCGGCAGCAGCGGACGCGACTTTTCCGTAAACAGGGTTGTTTTCCTTTTCTCCTCTTGACACAATAACAGTGGCCCCTAAGCTCCCCATCCTGTCTCCTGTCACCACCAGCCATGGGGGCCTGGGCAGTCTGAGTGGGGAGGGGGTCCGGGAGGGCAGGCTCTCCTGGGCCAGGAGGCTACCCTGTCACCTGGGAATGGGAGCTACAGCTTACCCTCCTGCAATGAGGTCTCTGGGCCAAGCAGGGGCAGGAATTCAGTGCTGCTCACCCCACAGGCCAGGTGGGGGCTGGACCCGCCTTAGGGGCCATGAGAGTTGGGGAGTCGGAGTGGGGGGCCATGCTGAACCTGTGCCCTCTTGGGGCTTGGTGGGACCCTGTGACCCTCACGGATTGACCCGGCAGTGCCTGGAGCAGAGGGCCACGGTTGGGTCCACATGGTGGCTGGGTCTCCTGAGAGGGGGCAGCAGGAGACAGGGCCTCCCTCTAGGTGAATCTCCCTCCAGGCCTGCTGGGGAGCTGCCCTGGATGTTCAACCGGGTGGACACTGTGGTGCCTGCTTCACAGAAGAAAAGCTTGTGGGTCAGACAGCACCTCTGATGTGCCAAAGCCCCTGAGAGGGGACCACGGGAGTAAACAGGATGGGAAGGAAGGCCAAGCCTCTGCAGAGGAGGATGGCCAGCACACCTGCTCCAGGCCCCCCAGGGACCAATGACGCGGGGACAGAGGCAGTCCCCCGCCCCCGGCTATGAGAGGACCCATGAGTGGTGCAGGGACAGCAGCATGTCTGTCTGGAGGGCAGATGGGGGCGAGGGGCGCAATTTCCCTGCACCTGGCTGTGGAGGGGGCAGGGGCAGGAATGGGCATGGTGCCCGGGAGCGCGACTCTGAGTGGCCAGTGTGCTGTGGGGGTGACCGCGTGCCCCCAGGCAGCAGGGCCTTTAGGCCTGGGTGAGGGGCTGTGGGCTCTTTACAGCGGCTCCCGGAGCAGAGCAGCTCTCAGCAGCGGGGCGCAGGGTGAATGGACAATGCCACCCGCGGTGCCGCCTGGTGGGTGTGGGCGGGCGCCGTTCTCTGCCAGGGACAGCCGGGGCTGGCACCCCAGCCCCCACCCAGGCAGCCGGACAAGGGCCACTGTTCTCCGGTCAGCAGCTGAGCCGGGGTCTGCGGTTCACCTGGGGTAACAGGCTGCGGGGGTGACCCAGGCTCTCCCAGGAGACCATTGTCCACCACGCCACACCGCACCCTAAGGAGGGACGTCCTGGTGGCCGGGAGCGCGAGCAGCTGCACGAGGAGGGATGCGGTCAGGACCCCACACCTGGTTCTCAGACCTCAGCACAGGAGGGGCCGGGGCAGGGTGAGGAAAGGCTGTGGGGGTCGCGGGAGGACCTCAAGCTCCTGCCGCCAACCCCGTGCTCTCTGGGGAGCAGCCGTTCCTGTCTGCAGCCAGAAGCAGATTTGGGAGAGGGTCCAGCTGACCCTGTAGGCCACCAGCCCCGGCCCTGGCAGAACGGCCCGGTGTCCCAGCCATCAGCAAGTGCGATGCGACCAAGGCACTGCCACGGAGCGGTGGGGGCGGAAGGGGCGGGCCACGCGGCTGGGTGGACCCTGGGGACCAGCAGGTCCCGGGCCTGGCAGCGCCACAGCCCCTGCTCTGAGGCTCATTACGCTGTTTCTTGGAACTACGGAAGTGACAAGTGTGCTCATAAAAAAGTCACACCCGACAACGGGCGCGCCGTGCAGTGGGGCGTGCCCCTTCCTGTCCCGCAGTGTCCCGGGGGGCGGGGGGCTCCCGTCCAGTCCCCAGCCCAGTCGGGCCGCAGAGAACACCGCGTCCAGGGCTCCTGGGGGACGAGGGTGCGCTCTGCAGCCACCTATCCCCAAGGGCCTTCCAGGAGGTCGCGGCCAACCGCGCACGGGCCCCCGCCCGGAAGCCGGCTCCCGACGTCCCCGCCAGCCGCCGCGTCGCGACCTCCTCCGCACAGGCGGGGGTCCCAGCGCCGAGAGCCGCGGACGGGGAGGGTCACGGGTGGGCCACCACCCGCGGGCGGTGGGCGCAGGAAGTCGCCGGTCCCAGACAGCATGTGGCGGTGAAGGGCCGGGACGCTCCTCCCGCACCCGGGGGGACGCGCCAGGCAGGAGGCCGGGCAGCCCCTGCTGGCCGCCCTGGCTTAGCCTGGTGATGTCACCTGGAAACTTCTCTCCAGGATTCCACCGGCACTGGGGGGAGGGGACTTTGAATAGGTAGGTGTCCCCTCCGGCCCCTTCAGGCCGGGCCAGGCCCCTTACCCCTGGCTGGTGCAGAGCCAGCCAGCCTGGCGTCTGGGACGATCCTGGCCACAATGAGGGCTCTGAGAGGCCTGCCAGGCTGAGTGTGGCCTGAATGGCAGCCTGTCCCCACAGAGGCCCCGGCTGGTCCCACCCAACCACACCACAGCGAGCCTTCCTGGCACCCTGACAGCACCATCCCTGGGTCCTCCCTGCCCCCCATCTCCAGTGCCCCCTCCCCACAGCCCCTGATGGTCCCCCACCCCCGGGCCCATCAGTGCATGGCCAGGTGCCTGCGTACTGGCTGTGCGCACAACAGTGAGGAGGGTGGCAGTGTCACCAGGCCCTGACCCCCACCCCAGTCACCTCACAGGTGACCATCCTGTCCCAGGTGGTGGGCTGGATCCTGCAGCCAGGCCTGCCTGCCTCTGCTGTCCTGGCACCCATGGAATCTGAGGATCAGAAAAGCGCAGGCCCACAGAGGGTGACCCTGGCCAACGGAGCTGCGTTCTGCTGGGGCCTCTGGGAGCCAGAGGTTGGGGGAGGGGTGGGGGCATTTGTCCCCCACTCTCCTGTCTTTGGTCGGGGGCTACAGGGTGGAGGTTCAGTGCAGACCGGGCCACGGTGGGCATGGGTGGGTGGGGGGGTGAGGGCAGGCTCTGGCGGTGGGGAAGGGGCAGGTCTGGGAGGGAGGGGGACGGCGTGTGAGAACAGGAGCGGAACATCGGCCAGCACAGGGAGGACGGCATGGAGGACTGTCCCAGCTGCTGGACCTTCCGGGGGCCCCGGCAGGGATGGCCTCGGCTGACAAGGGCCACCTCGCCCAAGGTCATGCCCCTTCCCAGTGAGCAATCCATGCGGAGTCAAAGACCCAGCATGCTCACCACAGCTCAGGTCACCTTTGAAGGGGCACCTCAGCTTCACTGTGCCCTGAGGTCAGCTGAGGACATGACTGAACCAGTGTCACGGCCGACTGCCCCCTCCCGGAACCATCCTCAAACAAGCGGAGCTGGGGTGGTTTGGAGATACAGAGGCAGAGGCGGGAAGGCCGGGGCCGCTCTCTGCCCAGTGGAATCCAGTTGTCATGACTGTCCCTGGTGGTGGACTGGGAGGATTCACAAGGAGGGTGCCACACTCACTGGACGGGGTAAGACACATTGCGAGTATGTGGGGCAGAACCTTGAAGATAGCATCACTGGCAGCTGCTGCTGGGGACAGAGAGGTCAGCAGGAGAACAAGGACTCAGTGGCTAGAGGTGCCCGGCTCCCAGACGGGCTCAGCCCCTGCCCTGGCACATCTGCTGTGCCCGCCAGCGTGCTGGTTGGGAGGAAACGGGTACGACAGGGGATGGTCTGCACACCTGAATCCTTGGAGACCACACGAATGTGCCACTCCTCCTCGTGAAGGGCTCGCCCTCTGCCCTTGCTTGGAGGTGACACAGAGGCTCGCTGCTCGGGACCTGCCTATTGGACACTAGGCCTGTAACCGGGATGAAGCTGTGCCACAGCCTGGACGTGCTGGCCCAGTAAGGGTCTACGGGACTGCACCCTCAAAGGAGCCTCAGGAGTCAGCGGCACATGCCAGGCTGGACAAGTTGCAGTGGGTGGATGAGGGGGAGCAGGTTGATTTTTTCCTGAGGTGCGGGACAAAGACCCCAGGAGGTGGTGCGGGCACACTGCTAGGAGGCTCCTGGGAGCATGGGAGACACACATGAAGAGGGTTAAGTGTCAGCATGGCTGTGGCAGACGGGGACTGTCTGTGGAGTGGGCATGAGGCGGACATGCCACGCCAGAGGCATCACACTTCCCAGGAGGGCCAGAGGACACAGCATGGACCCAAGCCACCAGGAGCACGCCAGGAGAGGCGCCGGCATCATCAGAAGGTCAGCCATGGCTCCGGGGCAGGCCAGACTGCAGCGGGAGAAGCTAGCACGGAACTAGACTCCCTGACAGAGACGCGATGCTGGTGCAGGGGGCAGTGCCCAGCTGTCAGTGGCCAGTGGACACAGCTCTTTAATGAGCGGCACGGCTGGACCAGGGCCGAGGAGCCCGAGCTGCATGGGGTTGTGGAGATGGGTAATGGACACGGTGCTCCTGGGGGACACACAGGCAGCCAGCGAGGGACTCAGCTTGTAGGAGCAGAAGAAATCAAGGGTGTGAGACAGGGAGGCCAGGGGCAGGTGCTCCAGCAAACGCTCGCAGCCCTGTGCCCAGATGCCAGTCCTGAGCTGGGTTTGAGACCCAGAACCACTGATCAGAGGGGAGGCTGGGTCCCTAAAAGGAAAAGTCTGCCACACCAAGACAGGTCTGCTCCACAGTGATCTGCTGGTCCCTCCCCAAGGTCCTGGGCCACTGACTCAGGTGACCACACAGAGAGAGGAAAATATCCGGGCATTTTGAGGACTGCTGGACACAGGATTCGAGTGGACGCTGGTATGGGGAGGCCAAAGGGGGCATCGTGGCTCTCCTGTTAGAGTGGGAGGGTTATAGGGGCCAGGTGACAAATGGAATTCTGGCCGGGTTCGATCCCCTGGCCTTGAGTCTGCACACCCACCAGCGGTCATTTCCCCCGTCCCAGAACAGACAGTGGAGCGGCAGACGTGATGGTGGACACTTTCTGGCCATGGTAGTGGGGAAGTCCAGGGCAGGCCCCTGCAGTGGTCCCCACCCAAGACAGCAAGTCCAAACAACGGATGTCCTGGGAGCAGGCAGGGACACATTTAAGAACCTGAAGTGTGCAAGGGTGGTGGTCCCAGCACACCCCCATGTCTTTCACCAGCCCAACCCCTACAAAGGCAGGTGGCGCCTGGGAGGAGGACAGTGGACGGCCACAAGAACTGCCCACATATTAGCCAGGCACGGCGTCTCCGCTGGAGCAGGTCGGCAGCTCCAGGTGTGTGGCGTGGCTGTGGGGGCTGCGGTCTTCTCCACCCCGTCTGCAGGAGGCCCAGACGCAGCTGACACGCCAGGAGGTGCATGCAGTGCGCGCAGCCCTTCCCCAGGACGACGGGCGCTCTCCTGCCCTCTCTCCCAAGTCCAAAAAGACCAGCACCAGCTGGATGTCCCCAGAACATCACCTTGGTCCCCTGTATCAATGGCCCCTTGCTAATAAGACCAGATGGCCGAGACGTGGCAAGCACATGGGGCCCTGCTGGGCACCTGTGCTCCAGTCAGCAAATCCCCTCCAGTGCGGAGCACGGATGGCTGCTCCCTGCACCGTCTGCTACAAAGAAGGAGCGGAGCACCTGGAAGGCTTCTGGGTGCTGGAGCGGCATGTTCCACACGTGACACAAAGGGACAGATCTGAATGGGGCACAAAACAGGGACAGGCTCCACAGTGGGTCCAGGCGGTAGCACAAGTGTCCCCGCTGCACGTGCTTTGACCCCACACACTGAAGGTGTGGGTGGGAAAAGGGGGATTTACGGCCACGTGCCTTTGGAAGACCTTCCACACAAACCCAGGGTGCAAAATGAAGCTGTCCCTGGGCTCACACCTGTGGCCTGGGAAGGTGGGAATATCGGGGTCAAGGGGCCTGGGGAGAGGCCTGCAGGTGGGCTAGGAGGTGGACACAGGTGTGAACATTTTAAATCCTCCTCAACACCCACTGGAACATACCCACCATGGAAGAGGCTATGGACAACCAGGTAGACAGAATGATTTGGCCAGGTGACATCAGCCAGCCTGTCATTGGTCCCTGAGCTGGCACAATGGGCACATACACAGAATGGCCGTGATGGCCTAGACAGGGGCTGTGCACACACTGGACAGTGCTTCTGCCCCTGAATGTCCACGGGGTGAGCCCAGGATGGCCACCTGTAGGAGACCGGCCTGTGGGCCCTGCCGCTGTGGAAGGGGCACTATCCGTTCTCACAGAACAGACCCAAACTCTCAGCATGGCCCATCTTTCCTGCCCAAAGGCCCTCGGTCCAGGTCGGGGCCGGCTGTCCGAGGGCCTCTCTCAGCATCTGTACACAGCGGCTGACACTGGGGCTGGTTACTGTCCGTGGTGGGACCATCCTGTGCCCTGGACGGGTCAGGCAGCGTCCCTGGCCTCCACCCGCTCCATGCCAGTAGTGTCCCTCACCCAGCCGCGATAGCCAAGTGTCTCCAGACATTGTCCCACATCCCCTGGGGGACAGAACGGCTGCATATTGAGAACTGCTGGTTTACAGAACGCCTTATCCTCCAAGATCCCATGCAATGTCGCATAAGACCAGGGGACACACTTCACAGCAAAGCCAGGACAGGGATGGGCCATGACCAGGCTTGCCCACTGAAGGCCAGGGAGGGCTGTGCCCTGCAGGGAGGGACGCCACATCCAGCACCTGGGCGTGTGCTGCATCCCCAAAGGAGGATGCTGCAGTCTGGGAACCAAGGGTGGGGGCCTTCTGACCCTGCAGACACCAGCCCCAGTGCCCAGAGGGTGAGGTTCCCCCTGAGGGACATGGCCAAAGACCCCTGCCTAAGGTCCTCTTCTAAGTCCCCCCGGAAAGAGGGCCGGGACGCTGAGGACATGATAGAGCCAGGGAGCCCCTGCCTAAGCCAGGAGGACAGCAGAGGCCCACAGTTCACCCACCAACCGTCCTCTTCTAAGTCCCCCCGGAAAGAGGGCCGGGACGCTGAGGACATGATAGAGCCAGGGAGCCCATCATGGAAGCCCCCAGGACAGGTGAGGCAGCAGAAGGCAGGCCCTGGCTAGACCGAGGTCAGCTCCGAGGGGTCCTTCGGCTTCGGCCTCTGTGTGACGTCCTCACGGTCTTGCCCCTAACAGGGGGTCAGACGACACCCCAGAAACGCGGGCCAGAGCAGGAAAGGACGGGCGGCCCCGCAGCGACACCTGCCGGCCGCGCGCGCTCCAGCCCTGCCCAGCGGGTGGCTGCACCGGGGTCGCCGCCGGAGTGGGGTCTGCTGGGTCAGCCGCGAGAGGGGGAGGCCTCCGGAACCCCGCAGGGGAACCGACATTCAAGCCCCAGGGCTCACCTCCCTGCGCTTTGGCACGTGGACCCCGGCCACTGTGGACCCAGGGACCCTGCGGGTGCCCCTCGCAGAGGACCCTCCGCCTTGCCTGGCTCCAGATCCCTGGGCTAGGGACACCCTCGCCTTTGCAGGGGAGAAAACCGAGGCTGGGGTCGCTCAACCACTGAGTGACCTGGGGACACTCCAGCCTCGGCCTCGGAATGGAGGGGCCAGGGTCCCCGGGGAAGGGTGGGACCAGCGTGGGGAGCGGGAGGAGATGCAGGGTTCAGGCCTGGGTCCTGCTTCTCAGTGTCCAAAACAGCGACACCCCTCCCCAGGTGAGTGCCCGCGCCCCTCAGGACACCTGCCTAGGCCACCTGTGCCCGGGAGGGGGCGGAGGCCGTTCGGGTGCCCCGCGAGGGTGGGCGCCTGTCCCGGCCCCACTACGGCTCTCGGCGCCACCTGGCGGCCGTTCATGGCTGGTGGCGAGAACTTGGGGACCCTCTGCGTTCCCAGAAGAGGGCGGGGTGCGCTTCCGCGGCCCGGCCCGAGCCCCGCCCTCTGGGGGGCCTGGCAGGAGGCGGGGCTCGCCGTCCGTGCACGCACAGGTGCGTGCTTACAGGTGCGTGCGTACGGGTGCGTGCGTACAGGTGTGCGCGTGCGCGGCTCTTGCCCTAGGCGCTGCCGCAGCACCCCTCACCCTCACCCTGCCCTGGACAGCCCTGTCCCCAGGGCCCACTTCCTGGCCAGGGGCCTTCTTTGTGGGCTCTCCTAGTTTCCCGCCCACCTGACACCCCTCTGGCATCCCCCAGCTCTGACTCGCTCCTCCTGTCCTCCACCACGTCCCCCACCCCACACAGCCCTGGCAGGATCCTGGACTCCCCCAATCGCAGGCTCCGTCCTCCCACTTGAGGGTCCAGGGACTGACTCACAGCGGCGTCCCTGCCACGTCCTCCCTGCCCCTCACGTCTTTCCTTGGCTATCACTGTGGCTCCACCAGGCTGGGCACCCCACTCTCTAAGCCCCCCAGGGGCCTACCCAGCCACACCTCTCGGTGGTCTCTAGAACATCCCGTCAGTATATGAAGAGATGGGGTCAGCTTGCTGACAGGGTGTCAACCCCCAGCACAGACTTCCAGATAGGTCTGGACTGGACAAGAGCAGCCCCCACCCCACCTGCGCTGAGCCAGCTTGACTCCGTGTTCCCTCTAGGAATTTGGGGAGAACTGGCCTCCACACCCCCACCACGGAGATGGAACAGGAGCAAGCAAGGCCAGACCTGGGAGGCAGCCGCATGGGACATGTCAGCCTGCCCGGGGGGCAGTGTCCACCCCTGCCCGCCAGGGCCACACAGTCTGGCCTGCAGGCACTTGTTCCAGTGCCCAGGTGCAGACGTGGTGGTCATCAGGGCCAGGACAGTGCAGGGGCCAGCACAGGGCAGTGAGGCACCAGCAGGATGGGTGGTGACATTTGCATGGATGGGGCCGTGTGGATGGAGGGGGCGCCTGGAGGCCGGAGGGGCTGGGACGGCATGATTGAGGGGGATCAGTTGGAAGCGGTGGTGGGGCCAGACCAAGTGGGCTTGGGTGTCATCAGGACACCTGGGCTTCATTCCCAGTAGGCAAGAGCCCTGGAGGCGGCAGTGGCTCACACCCACCCTAATGGGACTCCCACAGAGGCCGCCTCAATCCCACGGCCTGCTTTTTTCTTGGAATCCCTTCATTCCTAGATGAGGAACTGGTCCTGGAGTTTGTGATGTTTTTCTCCAGCTCAACCCCCAAACAGCCTTTGCCCCACCTGCGGGTCCCCTTCCTCTTTGTATGTCCCTCGACTATGCTCACCAAAATGAGGGACCCACAGGTTGGGTCCCTGAAACTCAGTCACACTTACAAATGTACTTGCCTATGGCAGGGCCACTGCAGGGAGGGCCTGAACCCCTGCCCCCCATGCACATCGCCCCTGCTCCGGGACAGCAGAGCCACTTCCTGTCTGCGTTCTTAGCACACCTTGGCGGTCCTGTCTGTCTCCCGGCTCCGGCAGGGCAGGTGAAGCTGGACGCAGCAGACTCGGTTGGAAAGGTCCAGACTTGCGCAGTGAGACACACCCACACACGCTCTTTTCCTGACTATCTTTAATGGCCAATTTTATTATAAAGAACAGTATCAAAATATACAAGTCTGTTTAAGAACAACTGAGAAATGCAGCTTTTTAAAGGGCCAAATGAGTATCAATCGTTTCAAGGAAGGCAGCTCCCTCTAACCGTCTACCGGGAGAAATGGAACGATGTGCACGGGCCCCGTTCTGTGCAGGACGTCATTCTGAATAATTTAAAGGGCAGGTCTGACGTGGCTCTGGATTCACGTTACAAATCTTCACGGGAGGGCGGCTGTGTTGGGTCTCCTTCTGCGACTTCTGTCAGAAAACAAACACAGATCGTTGCTGAAGGCCAGCACTAAAGGCCTGAGGACCAGGCGTCTGTTGGGACAAGGGTGGTACGTGCAGGTGCTTGCATCCTGACGTCCAGCACCTGGCGTGTGGCCTGGATGGTGCCCAGGCTCCCTCTGGACACAGCAGCCATTCCAAGGGCAGCTCAGGTCAAGAACCCCGGTGCCCTGAAGCCCCCCACAGCTGGGGGGGGGACTCAAGCAGGTGAGACACATGGCCAAACAGCATCCTAGAGCCACCACACTGCTGTGGGCACACAGGACGCGAAGCTGGGAGCTGGAGAGGCCTTCCATGGTCAGCTGGGATGGGAGTAGAGTCTAAGCAATTGTGGGGGGTGGGGGCACGCTGGGAAACGCTGGAAGGAGAGGGCATGGTGGGCTGCAGCCTCGGGGCAGAAAGGAGACAGGGCTGAGCCATGTAGTGGCCCAGGAGGCAGCCCTGCGGCGTGCGACCATGGCTTTGTCCTCTGGCCTGGCCTCACAGTGCTGTCCACCAAGTTCTTTTCTTGTCGCTGGTGTTTCACAGTTTGTTACATTGCTTCTAGATGCAGAATCTCTTTTATTTATCCTGCTCAGGGTTCAGACAGTTTCTAGAATCTGAACCACATCTTACTCATTCTGGAAAACTCTTAGCCATTATCTCTGAACACTGCCTCTTAACCCACTCTCCATTCTTCTAAAACTTCTGTGAGACTGTCATGGATAGAACCATGTCCCCAGTACCTGTGGAGTGACCTGTTTGAAAGTAGGGTCTCTGCAGATGATCAAGGTAAGGTGAGACTGTGAGGTGGGTCTCGTCCAATACGGCTGGTGTCCTTGTGACAAGGGGACATTTGGACACAGACACAGATGTGCACATGAAGGACCATGTGGGGACAGGGGAAGATGGCCATCTACAGCTGAGGACAGAGGCTGGAGCAGGTTCTCCCTCACAGCCTCAGAAAGAACCAGCCCTGTAGACACCTCTGCCTCAGACTTCTGGCCTCCAGAACTGAGAGTACATTTCTGCACTGAGGCCCAGGCTCTGGCAGCCCCAGGAAACCGATTCAATCAGCGGGACTGCCTCCCTATCCTCCACCTCCCTACACGCTGCCGTCTGTCTCTGCAGCCGTCAGGCACTCTCCCCACACTCGTTTTCCAGTTCACTAATTCCTCCTCTGCCTCCGTCCACTCCTCTGAGTTTTAAGTTTCAACAACATTCCCTTTCGTTTCTCTAATGCCTCTGGGCAGAGCTTTCACCCACCGTCTTCCAGGAAGCTCGGCTATCACTGTCCCAAGGCTGCTATCTGTAATAATTTCTGTACCTGGGAGTTCCCAGACCAAGCAGCCAATGTGTCACAGACCCCAAACCCCAGAGGAAGGCAGGTGCGCCACGTGAGTGCCTGCCACTCACTGCCTGCTGCCATCGGCACACACGCATCTTCTGTCTCTTCGAAGCCTTCAGGACACACGCAGACGTAACTCCCTGGAGTATTGTAGCAGTTTTCATTTTTCCTTGCACATGCTTTTTCCGCTAGTGAGCACTCGTCCATATCTAAAATACAGCCCGTTTTCATGAATTACTTCATTTAGCAAATACACATACACGGCAGATTATGAAATTCATTCATTCATAATGCATTCACATAAGGAAAGCACAAAGATTATAAGCGTCACGTCAGAGAAAGAAACAAGGGTCAGGAAAGTCTCCACAAGGTAGATCTTCACGTCTCAGAGCTCAGGCCCTCAACTGCTAAGAGTAGAGACCAGACGCTGGTGACCATGAGTACGGGATGCCCAGTGTGTGCTCATGTGGCAACCAGGACCTGCGGGCAGCCATGACCATGGGGCCTGGATCTTGGCCACAGGGCTGAATAATCTCCTGGGAGCTGGGGGAGAAAGGGGCTGGGCACACCAGGCTGGACTGGAGACCGAGGGCAGCAGGTAGTAGCTGTCACGACAGCATCGTCCACACCTGGGGCCTGGCAAAGGGCAGACCTGGTCCCCCCTCCACTGCCCCATGTCCCATGAGCTCAGGAAGTGACACCTGCAGGACGAGTGTGAGCTGTTCCCATCCCCCAGTGGCTCCTCCTGGGGCCGTGCAGGCTGTGATCCCTCCAGAAGGTTTCAGCTCAGTCCAGCACAGACCCAGCTCCACTAACCTGTGCACTGCCCGCTCTCCTTTGTGTAGCCGGGGACACACTCTTTACACCTCCCTGGACCTTTTCCTGTGCAGCCCACACAGGTAGCATCGCATTCTAGAAACAAGAAGGGAGAAGACGTCAGACCACTGTCCACGATAGCAAGACGGGCCTGGAACGACGCTGCGGAGACGCTCGGCATTCATCACTGCAGTGGCTTTGTGACAGCCCACCTTTGTCTCCCGGCCAGAGCGCAGACGCCCTTCACTTTACACAACAGACCAAGCAGACAGCAGGGGGAGCGGGGTGAAGGAGCCCTCCTGTAAGTCCTTCTGCCGAAGGAGAAATCGGCGACGGCAGATTTTCTTGAAACAAAATCCCCCTCACGCCTGGTGACACTGGTCTGTTCGTTACTAGGAGCCCAATAGCAACCGCACAGAGACTCCTGCGGGGCTGCTGGGGGAACATCTCATCGCCATCGTCAAGGAGGATTAGACCCACCCAGGGCTGTCACAGACAGAGGGGAAGACAGCCTCGTCCCCGCTGCTGGAAATGGGAACTGGCACAACCTTTCTGGGGACATCATGGCCCTAAAATACACATTCCCTAGACGGAGCAATTTGGAAGTTAATCCAAAGAAAATAATACAGAATGTGAAAAGTTGTGCCTACAAGAGTATCCAAAGTTTATAACTGTGGAAAAATTGGTGTAATTTAGACATCCAACAACAGAGATTAGTTTTAAAAAGTATGAAATAATGGCATGCTCCAAAATCATTAATATGATGATGTAGGAAAAATGTGATGTACAAAGATGCTCACAACGTGTTGAACTAAAAAAACCCAGGAAGAAGGAACCATGTTAAATAAGTGTGAGCAGCGCCGCCGTAGGAGCACGTGAGATGAACAGGGTCGCTCTCGGTGGAATGGATGTTTTTCAAAAATGTCTTCAAGTTATTTAAATTTTCTAGTTTTTCTGCAGAAAATATCTATGACTTGTATAGCCACATTAAGTGTTTTTAAAGCAGTTAGAATATACAGAAGTCATGCTAATAAGCGGCAGGTAAGTGTTTGAAGAGGAAGAACTGGAACCCCAGCAGGACTCCCCCTGGCCCGGGCACGCGCACCTTCACACGAGTAGGAGCCCCTGACGTTCTCACAGTACTGCGTGTCACTGCAGGGCGGGGTCTCTGCCGCACACTCATCCACATCTGGAACAGAACAGCACAGCGGTGAGCACTTTTGAAAGGACACGGCCCACAGCCGGGCTGGCAGGGAAGAGTGGGACGGGCTGGGGACGAGGCACAGCCCCACACCCTGTCCTGTGGACACTCAGTGCCACTGGTAGAGGGGCTGCCGCAAGAACGGCGGTGACAGGCCCAGGGCGGGGTCTCTGCCGCACACTCATCCACATCTGGAACAGAACAGCACAGCGGTGAGCACTTTTGAAAGGACACGGCCCACAGCCGGGCTGGCAGGGAAGAGTGGGACGGGCTGGGGACGAGGCACAGCCCCACACCCTGTCCTGTGGACACTCAGTGCCACTGGTAGAGGGGCTGCCGTAAGAACGGCGGTGACAGGCCACTGGCGTGCGAGCCACATTGCTGCCTGTGACCCCAGGTCCCGTACCCCTGCTCAAGTGTGAAGCCCGGCTGATTTGCCTGTGGCTGAGCAGCTGCTGGGGTGAAACCAAAACCCACGCCAGCCGTGGGGGGAGGGCAGCAGAAAAGTCACACAGCTATAGTGTGGACGCTCCCCTGCCCCAGTGGCCGGTTTCTCTGGAGCTCGGAGGTGCTGCAGGACCGGACTCGCAGGCCCCGCGCTCAGGGCAGCGCCCCTCACCCAGGCAGGCATCCTCCTGGCGCACCCAGCCCACTTCGCACTCGCCGCAGTCTCTGTTGGTCGGGCCCGAGCAGGTCCTGCAGGACTCGTCACAGGCTGTAAGGCAAAGGCAGGCCGGGTCAGGCTGGCCCTTCACCGGGGCAGGCTCCAGCTCAGCGACCAACGCACAGGCACGGCTTGCTTCAGACACGAGGAGTTTAAGTTCATCAGGAGAACAATGGAAAGAGAAAGCAGAGAGAACAACCCCACAAAAGTACGATCAGTTCTGCAGGTAAATCTGCGCACGTGATTCATGATATTCACAGACTTAAGGAGGAAAAACCCGTGTGGAGTTGTCAGTGCTCGCAAGTGATAAAATCCTCAGCAAACCAGGACTCCAAGGGAGCCTTTTATAACTCAAAAAAGACGGCTATCCACACGCCGGGGCTGACAGCCAGCTGGGAGCGTGGGCTCCAGCCACTGTCCCCCCACAGGCCCCGCATGCACCGATGTCCCAGAGCCAGGGAGAGCCCGGGCGCAGGAGTCAGAGAGAGGCTGTGTCCTGACGCACGGCATGTGCACAAGAGCCACAGACCGAGCACTCGCCCCCACGCGGGAAGTGCACACGCACACACAGTTCTCCCACACGTCAGAGACAACCAAGGAGAAAATGCAGTTTAGAAAGACGCCGCTCGCAACTTCCTGCCTGGATTTATAATGCATAAGTGTGCAAGCTCTTCACAGAGGACGCTGCCCTACACACCCACGCTGGGTGTTTGTTGTGGCTGGTCACCACCCAAAGGCTCTACCTCTGCACAGCCTGACAGGACAATCTGAAAACCCACAGGGAGGGAAGGGTCTAGAACAAAAGCTGGGACAATTCTGAAGACCCTGGTGGGCAGACCCCCTTGTCCAATGCCAGGCCCTATGATAGTGCCAGGGCAAGCAAGATGGCACATCCTCTAGCCAGGGGACTGCTTGGGGGGACCCGGGGCCACACGTGTGGTCTCCAAGGGTCCTGCCAGTTCTCATGTGTGGCCACCTCTCCGTGCCTCTCCTCTGGGGTGCGGGCGGGCTCAGCACTGTTCTCTGTCCACTCGAGTCACCGAGTGAAGCAGGTGCATCTGGCCTCCGCACCATGCACCGTGTGGTGAGGTCCTGCAACCAGCCCCAGGACACCGGACAGGTATGCAAAGGGCTGTCGTCCTGCAGGGAGAGCCTCAGGGGGAGAGCAAGCCTTTTGCCAGAACGTTCCAGGTCATCGAAGGAAGAGGGTGTAGTCCACCATGAGGAACCTAGAGAACCCAGCACAGAGATGACAGAGCCTGCCAATGCAACACCGCTGGACCCTCAGTCCTTTCTAGAAGGACTTAGAAGAAAAGTGAGCGGCTTTTCCCTTCGAGGGTTTAGGGACAGGACGTGCATCCTCTGTGGCTTTTTCTCATACGTCTCATAGAGGCCACATCGTCCGGGTCTCCTAAGCTCCCCTAGACATCTGGGGTTAAAAGGTTAACAGGTCCTCACCCCCACCTCTGCCCCCGTGCAGCACCACCGTCAGGCGGTCTGGACCTGCATGCTGGGCGCTGCTGCCTACCTGTGCAGACGCTGTGGGTCTCGTTCCTCAGCGAGCTGAAATAGCCGTCCACGCAGTCGATGCACAGTGCCCCCTGGTACCCCATGTGGCACTGGCAGGACCCGTCCCCCTCTCTGCTGCCGTCTCCACTGCAATGGCCGTTCCCGCTGCAGGGCCTCTGGGACCCGCCCTGGCACGCTTCAGGGGACACAAAGCCATGCTCAGAGCACACCCAGGAGGCGGCGAGCATGGCGCTCTCACACGGAGATAATGCCACCGCACTGCCTCACCGTGCTCACAATCAAATCTCACTAAAATCCAAAGCCTGCACAACCCTCGCTGAGGAGACACGGGAGCCCGTGAGCTTGGCAAGGGTGTCTGCGGGGCCCATGGTGGGAGCGGCCTGTGGGTCCCCGGATGTCACTAGCTTGTGTGGCTTTGGGCAGCCTCACCTGAAACACGGGACAACAAGGACACTGACACATCGGGCGTGTGGGACCACAGGGGAGGCGAGAACGTCGGCCGCCACGCCCAGCGCAGCGCCAGGGAAAGCAGGAGAGATGGGCAGGAGGGGCTGCGGTCCGAACGTGAAACTTGTGCCACCTGACCCAGCTTGGCCAGTGTGGCTGACGTTTGTGACAGCCGAACAGTGACCTGTGGCTTGTTTCAGTGCACACGCCTTCATAACAGAGCTCGCTTCCCCTAGGCTGAGGGCCACATGCCCAGCCCGGCGGACGCCCACTGCCCTTGGCCCACTACAGACGGGTCTTGGCCACTCTGTGGTCAGCACCCAGGCAGGGCAATTAGGAAGAACCCACAGGTTGAGTCTTCTCACCGTGGGCTACTGTGAGTCTGGGAACCCCGAAGTAAAAGCCCAGTTGGGGTAAGATACTCAGGCTTCTACGGCCCAAAGGAGAACGTCCCTAAAGCGCGAAGTTGGCGGTGATGCCGCAGTCCCGGGGTACGGGGGTGCACGTGTCTGTCTTATGGAAGAGGGAGGGTCCCGGCCTCCTCTGTGGTTCTGTCCACCGGGGAGTCACAGGAAGAGTACGAGAATGACGTGGGAGGCTTGGGAAGCCCCCGAGAGAAAACATACCGAGGCAGTCGGGCCCGTAGGTGCCTGGGGAACAGCACACTTTCAGCGTTTCCACACAGAACCACTCAAACAGGTCAGGGTACTCCGTCTTCCTAGAGGTTTTAAAAAACGTTCATTAAATCTCAGGTGACAGATTTCTTTAAAACAAAGATGCGGCATAAGATAACACATGCTCTGGACTGTCACAGGGTCGGGGAACCAGAGTCCAGGTGTGTGGCCTCCCGGTTCGGTCACTGCACTCCATGATGCCCAGTGAGGGGTGGGGACGTGGCAGCGCAGCACTGTTCCTGTGCGGTGCCTGGGTGACCGGCCTCGGCACTCACAGCTGCAGCCACCAGGCCTCCAAGTGTTCCTCCTGCTCCTCCACCATCTGGTTGCACCCAAAGTCGCTGCTGTCGCACAGACCCTCCACGATCTCCACGAAGCGGATCTCGCTGGAATACAACCCACCAGTCAGCACCGCAAGGGCAGGAGGATTCCAACAGCTATGTCCTGGGGCCCCATCTGGTGGCAAGCTGGGAACATGGTGACTTCTTAGCCCAGACACATCCTGAACCAACACATCAGCTAGGGAGTCAGGGCAGAGAATGGACCTTGGAGAGGGTCCAGCAGGGGGCCAGAACTCTGAGGAGGGAGGGAAAGGACTATCCACCTGTCAGGGGAGGCCAGGAGGGTCCACACATGTGGGACTGCTGTCCCAGTTTACGTTTTCAAAAGGCCACCCTGTCTGTTGAGTGAGAATGGGTTTCAGGGACCAGTGTGGAGGCTGGAAGTCCAGTTAGAGGCCAGTGCATTAGTGTTGGCAGAGGCAACAGGTGGCTGGCATCTAAGGGATTCTTCTGTGTATCTGTCACCAATGCAGGTGCCAAAGGCAGGACACTGGGCTTCTTGGGACAGGGCCCACTGCATCCCATAGCGGTGCTCGGACACCCACCTGAACTCATACTTGGACAGCGTCTTCTCCTCCCAAGCTGTGTTCCCACCGCCGAAGTTTTTCTTCGCTGTGTCCACCATCCCCTGCAAGGATAAGGTGTGCACGGGGATTGGTGCCGCCTGCACTGCCCCACCCCACCAACCCCATGCCCCCGGCCGGGTGCCTGGCCCACCTGGCTGAACTGTCCACCAGCCCCAACCTTGGGCACCAGCCCACCTGGATGAACTGTCCACCAGCCCCAACCTCAGGCCCTGGCCCACCTGGTTGAACTGTCCACCAGCCCCTGACCCTATTCCCTGGCCCACTTGGCTGAACTGTCCACCAGCCCCTGACGCCCTGTTCCCTGGCCCACTTGGCTGAACTGTCCACCAGTCCCTGACGCCCTGTTCCCTGCCCCCCTGGCTGAACTGTCCACCAGTCCCTGAACCCTTACTCCTTGGCCCACCTGGTTGAACTGTCCACCAGCCCCTGACCCCCTGGTTCCCTGGCCCACTCTGAACTGTCCACCAGTCCCTGAACCCTTATTCCTTGGCCCACCTGGTTGAACTGTCCACCAGCCCCTGACCCCCTGGTTCCCTGGCCCACTTGGCTGAACTGTCCACCAGTCCCTGATGCCCTGTTCCCTGGCCCACCTGGTTGAACTGTCCACCAGTCCCTGACGCCCTGTCCCCTGGCCCACCTGGCTGAACTGTCCACCAGTCCCTGAACCCTTATTCCTTGGCCCACCTGGTTGAACTGTCCACCAGCCCCTGACCCCTGGCCCACCGGGATGAACTGTCCAGCAGCCCCAACCTCAGGCCCCGGCCCACCTGGATGAGCTGTCCACCAGCCCCTGACCTCGGGGCCCCACGCCCTCACCCGGCGCCCGGCCCACCTGGTTGAACTTGTCCACCAGCCCCCGGCACCGCTTGCAGGGCGTCGGCTTCCGGGCGGCCTCGGGCGCGGGCGGCAGCAGCAGCAGCAGCAGCAGGAGCCCCAGCGCGGCCCGGGGCGGCGGGTGCATGGCGGGCGCTCGAGACCCCGCTCCCGGCCGCCCGGCCGTTCCCGGGGCTACTGGACAGCGCCGGCAAGGCCACGCCCAGCCGGCCGGCTCCCGCGCCGCTATTGGTGGGCAGAGTCCGCCCCGTCCTTACGTGGCCCAATCCGAGATCGCCACGAGCAGCAACCAATGGGAAGGTCCCGGGTCAGCGTCCTGCCGGGAGGGAGGCGTGGCGTAGCGGACCGAGCCCGCCCCTTGCGAGGCCCCGCCGCGGCGGCCATTTTTACTCCGGGCACGGAGGGCGTGTTCCGCGACGGTGGCTGGGGCTTTGGTGGCCATGTGGCTAGGCTCCTCACCTGCGGCTGGCCCTCTCACCTGGGGGGCTGGGCTCCTCGCCTGGGGGGCTGGACCTCTCACCTGGGGGCTGGACCTCTCACCTGGGGGCTGGACCTCTCACCTGGGGGCTGGACCTCTCACCTGGGGGCTGGACCTCTCACCTGGGGGCTGGACCTCTCACCTGGGGGCTGGACCTCTCACCTGGGGGCTGGACCTCTCACCTGGGGGCTGGACCTCTCACCTGGGGGCTGGACCTCTCACCTGGGGGCTGGACCTCTCACCTGGGGGCTGGACCTCTCACCTGGGGGCTGGACCTCTCACCTGGGGGCTGGACCTCTCACCTGGGGGCTGGACCTCTCACCTGGGGGCTGGACCTCTCACCTGGGGGCTGGACCTCTCACCTGGGGGCTGGACCTCTCACCTGGGGGCTGGACCTCTCACCTGGGGGCTGGACCTCTCACCTGGGGGCTGGACCTCTCACCTGGGGGCTGGACCTCTCACCTGGGGGCTGGACCTCTCACCTGGGGGCTGGACCTCTCACCTGGGGGCTGGACCTCTCACCTGGGGGCTGGACCTCTCACCTGGGGGCTGGACCTCTCACCTGGGGGCTGGACCTCTCACCTGGGGGCTGGACCTCTCACCTGGGGGCTGGACCTCTCACCTGGGGGCTGGACCTCTCACCTGGGGGCTGGACCTCTCACCTGGGGGCTGGACCTCTCACCTGGGGGCTGGACCTCTCACCTGGGGGCTGGACCTCTCACCTGGGGGCTGGACCTCTCACCTGGGGGCTGGACCTCTCACCTGGGGGCTGGACCTCTCACCTGGGGGCTGGACCTCTCACCTGGGGGCTGGACCTCTCACCTGGGGGCTGGACCTCTCACCTGGGGGCTGGACCTCTCACCTGGGGGCTGGACCTCTCACCTGGGGGCTGGACCTCTCACCTGGGGGCTGGACCTCTCACCTGGGGGCTGGACCTCTCACCTGGGGGACTGGGCTCCTCACCCGCGGCTGGACCTCTCACCTGGGGGGCTGGGCTCCTCACCTGGGGGGCTGGACCTCTCACCTGGGGCCAGCTCAGTGTGTCTTTGGGAGCCCAGGAATCTGCATTTCTCCACGGGCGAGGCGATGGGCACTGGCTGATGTTCGGGAACCCCTGGTTCAAGTTAGGAGAGATAATGTGCGTTGTCTGCGCTCTAGAGAACTGTCTGTGAGGTAGGAAAGAACGCCAGAAGATTTTCCAGCTGAGATTAATAATTTGTGTGTCTGATTTGACCGATTTCAGTAGAGGCCTCAGAATCCGAATTGATGGGGACAAGATTTGTAGGTCATTCCCTAATCCCAGATGTGGTCCTTCTGCAAACCACATTTTGTAAAGAGTCTGGGCCGGGTCTGTTTTAACCTGGGGATGCTCTGGAGGTGCCTGCTGCCTCAGACTAGCAGCAGCTGCTGAACAGCTGCCGAGCGGGGAAGCCCGTGGGGCATGTGTGGCTTCTGTGTGTTCCTGTTGCATTTGTCTTCCTGGGCTCCTGGCTGAGCGTTGTGACTTACGCGCACTTGGTCTTCTAGCTATCTGTGGTCATTGGCAGAAAGCAACCCTCATCTGGGCATGAGGAGGCGCGGGGGCCTGGCAGGAAGGTCAGGGTGAGCTACATGTGATGTTTTCACCCTGCAGCTTGGATTCTTCTTGCAGGGGACAGTCCTCTGGACAGAGGCATACAGTGGGGTCAGTTGGGGGTCCCTGCCAAGCAGCACCTTCTGCATGGCTTCAATAGCTTGGCATACAGATGCTTCCTATTTTTTTAAACCTTTTTTTCTGCCTTAACAGTGAGAGGAACAGAGTAGCGTATGAATGTTCTGCAGTCTCCCCTGCTTTGCTGGAAATTAAAGCATTAACATTTTTAATAAAAATGTAAGCTGGTCTGCTGAGATCTGCACTTAAGAGTTTCTACCAAATTTCTTCATCAGCTAGTTTGTTGGGCACCTGCTATGTGCCAGGCTCTGCCAAGACAGCCCAGCAGGCCCTGCCCCCAGGATGTGAGTCCGGCTGGGGAGCTGGTGAAAGCTCATTCCTTCAACACACTTGAGTTCCTTCTGCTGTGCACAACCTGGCTCTGCCCTGGTGCTGAGGTGACACCTCTGCACAAAACAGAAAATAAACTAGTAGCACTTCCCTCCCTCCAGTAGTTAACAGTGGTTAACCTGGTTGATGGGTCTTTTTCTTTGGTACCAAATTTTTATATTTGGGAAAGGAAGAAATGGTATGTTATTTCTAACAGGAATTGCATACTATTTTGGTCATTCTATAAACCCCCTTTTTTCCCTTTCTTCCCCACCCCACCAGCACCACTACTCTATCAAAGAGGATTCCTGTTCCTCCCAATCTGGATTTTCCTTCACTTGTGGATTCCCTGCTTGCCACATTTGGAGAGTGTAGACTTCTTAACTCTCCAGCTAATCAAGAAGTAGTTTTAACAAATAGTGAGCTCTGTGGCTCTTTCCCTTTGCTTCTGGCCCTTCTGGTTTTGACAGAATAAAATCAAGCCTCTTTTAAAAGAATCCAGAAACATAAATTTGCCGCCTCCCCTCCCCAGGTCTTCCACATGTAGCAACGGGACACTTTCGTGGTTTCTCAAGGAAGCTCCGTGCCGTAGGTCCCCCAAATCATCCAGTTAGCATTTGGGTCACTACTGCAGGAACCCCTCAAGGACACACATTCAGGCTCATGACCAATGTGGTGGCTCCTCCAGACTCCCAGGTGGAAGTTCAGAGCACAGACAGGTGGGTGCTGTGTCCAGCCTCCTGTCCTGCGGCTGCTCCTCCGTCACCCCCCAGGTGCAGCCCTCCCACCCCGCCTCCCACCCCGCCCCACAGCCTCCCATTTCATGTCTCTGGGTTGTCGCCTCCTGCAGATTCGAAGCTTCTCCAGGGCAGGGCCAGGCCAGCTGCACGAAGGGTTAGACTCAGGGATCTGAACAACAGTCTTTCTAACCAGCGTGAGTTTTCTTTTAACTTTGTATGTTGACGTATTTTCAGGTTCAGGAGTTACAGCCACAGTTTGAAGAATTCCTGCCTCCCTTCCCAGATCTCCTAAGTAGAAACTCAGGCCTGGTTTTCAAAACTTAGGAATCTATGTTTTCATTCTTTCAAAATGCTTAGCATGGCATGCTGATGGTGGTGGTTCCGTGAAGGGGCACGAGTTGAAAGCCCGATGGCTGGCAAGAGGTCCTCCAGCAGGCGGCCCCTGCTGCTGGGGCTGCTGGTGACGGTGGCTGCTGTCCACCTCATCACCTGTCCCTACACCAAAGTGGAGGAGAGCTTCAACCTGCAGGCAGCCCACGACCTGCTCTACCACGGACTGGATGTGGACAAGGTGAGGGGCCACTGCTGTCTTTGGCCAGAAGTCTTGCATCTTCCCTGCTTGCGAGGGCTCCCTATGCTGACCTGCCCTTCTCTTTGCAGTATGACCACCACGAGTTCCCTGGTGTCGTCCCCAGGACGTTCCTCGGGCCGGTGCTGCTTGCGGCCTTCTCCAGCCCCGCAGTTTACGTGCTTTCACTGTTAGAAATATCCAAGTTTTATTCTCAGCTAATAGGTAAGGGGGTCTTCAACAACTGAGGATGACATGAAGGATTGTGGTGTCACCAGGTGATCTCAGTCGGTCACATGGAGGTTCCTATCCTTCAGGAACGCTGTCTGTGGCCATCTTGCCTGCCCCCAGTCACGTTAGCATGGCGGTCAGGCCTGGGACATGGAAGCAAGCCCCGCTGAGCTTTCACACTCTCGACTGTGAATTTAGGGGTGGTGGAGACTTCCTCCCCAGGACTGGCGTTGGAGGAGATGACGCACATCTGGGAGGTCCCCCTCTTGTGCCACACACTTGGGCCACCGGGCAGCCACCTGAGCTGGTTGCCCCCGCCTCACCTGGAGAGCCCTGTTATGTTAAACAGCGCTTTACTAGTGCAGATGCAGCATCGGGAGCCTCACACACACGGAGGCCTCACGTCCCAGAGGGCGCTGCTGTTAGGCCTGCGTGCAAGGACGTCTGGGCCCTTCTCTGTGCCCGTGAGCGTCCTTTTGTTTTAAAAGTCAGCTTCAGAACATTCCATACTTGGGCCGGCCCGTGGCTCACTCGGGAGAGTGCGGTGCTGATAACACCAAGGCCATGGGTCCGGATCCTATATAGGGATGGCCGGTTGTCTCACTGGCTGAGCGTGGTGCTGACAACACCAAGCCAAGGGTTGAGATCCCCTTACTGGTCATCTTTAAAAAAGAACATTCCATACATGTTGCTTCACAACCTGATTTTTCAGTCAACAATCACCACTTTTCCATTTCAGTGAGTATTTATCACGTCCAGTTCTCAGACTGTATTCCAGTCTCCCCAATTGACTCACATGCAAACTTAACAACAAATTTGTCCAGACTGTGCAGAGAGCTTAAAAAAATGCACATTCTGGGGGAAGAAACAATTCTGCTTCTTGAAAGGGCAGACTAGGAAATGGAAATCAGCCATCACACGGGCAGCGTGGTGACCGTGCCATCGTGATGGGAAGGGGTGGAGGGCCACAATCCAGGGAGGGCAGGTTGTAGTGAGCCCAGCATCTGGGTCCCCGGTCCCCTGGAGGCTTCGTTTGTTCCAGGGGAGGCGGCGAAGAGGGTGAAAAGTTGGGCACATCTGGGCAGTCTCAGGCAGGGCTGGGCCCTCGGAAAGCTGCAGCCTCCACATGGGGAGCCAGAGCCAGCCCTGTGCCGTCCTCATTCCTGATCGCACCAGGACATCCGGAACTGCTCGCGCCCCCCGGCCATGCTGGAGGCCAAAGTCGTTCCTCTCTGGACGAAGATGATGTCATCCTGGGACTGAGGTTGTCTCCACAGCTTTTCATCAACAGTCATTGTCTAGTGCTCAGTTAGGGACAGTCAGGCGCTGGGGAAGGTGGAGGACCACGTGGAGCTCCTGGGGCGCAGGCGGTGGACTTGTCAGACTCGGGCTTGAAGGAAATAAAAGAAAGGCAGCGAGCGCTGCTGGGGCGCTGTGAACCTTACGAAAGAACAGAAACGGGAACTCTAGCACTAAAGCGACAGCAACCAAACTTAGGTCCACTTGAGGACATCGGTTAAAAAATGTCCTAAATGAGACATCTGCAGTCCTAATCCAGCAGCGTATAAAAAGGAAAGTGCCCGGTGTCTGGGCTGGGTTTGTTTGGAGTCTGCAGCTGCCCGTGCTGCCAGTGAGGTGTCTCCTGTCGGTCCCCTCAGCTGCCCGGACCCATTGTCTTTCTCAGAGGGACTCTGAAGTCCCTTCTGGCTTTCAGGAAACGTGGCAAGAGCAGCCCAGAAGTTTATTTTCTTCCTACGTTCAGCCTCTCGCCAGCGGCTGATGAGGCCTGTCCTCATGGAGGCGGTGGGGTCTTCCAGGCACGCTCTCATGTCCACAGACCCAGGCCCCTGCGATGGCCCCTGCCACCGAGTGAGGACGAGGCTCCCGTTCAGCTTCCAGCACCTGGAAGCCCATGTCCCCCCACGTCCTGGCCTCATGGCTGCAGGTTAGAGGAAGGCCAGAGTCAGGCCCTTGCAAATCCTGCCCCTGAGAGGAGTCGGGGCTGTGTGGCGCGTCTCTGGTTTAGTGTGGGGCGTGGCTTGCCACCATGTCCTGTGAGCACTGCCTTCGCTATGGGTGGCCACGTTCCTCCGGCTCCCTCACTGTCACACAGCAGCCCCCAGAGCCTGTGTGGCCCTAAGGTAAAGCCTTGGGGTCAGGCGCTGTGGCCGAGTGCATCAGAGACGACTCCCTCTCAGCTGGTCTCACCCTCGCAGGGTCGTCAGGTTACCATTTAAGTGGCACTTCGAGAGGCCCCCTTTGCCTCGCCGTCCTTGCCCACTGCAGGTCACACGCATGTCACTGTCTTTGTTTCAGTCAGAGGAGTCCTTGGACTTGGGGTGATTTCTGGACTCTGGACGTTACAGACAGAAGTGAGACGGCAGTTCGGGTCCTCAGTGGCCGCCATGTTCTGCTGGCTGACGGCCACGCAGTTCCACCTGATGTTCTACTGCACCAGGACACTGCCCAACGTGCTGGCCCTGCCTGTGGGTACGTAGCCACTGGCTGTGCCCGCAGAGCCCGGGTCGCGGCCCCCACCTTCACTTGCCTCTCGCCGGGGCAGGCTCACCCCGAGCCAGGTGAGTGCGTGTCAGAGCTGCGTGCACCTCCCCGGCGACAGCTGCTCCTGACGGGCTCCTGAGGGTGGTCCGTGGTGGGAAGCTGGGCCCTTTGTTCTCAGCGCTGGTCGAGGTGGGCTTTCCAGGCAGCACATGGGGGCTCCTGCCACCCTCACCACATGGCGCTTGTCTTCAGAATGATTTTTGTGTGGCTTTCATCACGAGCAAATACATGACCCTTCATTTTACGGGTGTCATCTGAACTGGGGTGGGGGCTGGGTGCTGGTGTGGCTGGCGTGTCTGATGGCCCGCCCATCTTGCAGTCCTGCTGGCCGTCGCGGCTTGGCTGCAGCACCGGTGGGCTGGCTTCGTCTGGCTTTCAGCATTCGCCATCATCGTCTTCAGGGCCGAGCTGTGCCTGTTCCTGGGCCTCCTGCTGCTGCCACCTCTCTCCAGCAGGAAGCTGCCTGTGCTCAGACTCCTGCAGCACGCCGTCCCGGCTGGGACCCTCTGTCTGGGTAAGGCGGCTCTGCGGTGGGATTGCTCTAACTGAATTTCATTTTCCCTGGTTTTACTAAGATGAGGAATGTGGGAGTTTTTTTTTTTTTTTTTTTTTTTTATTAAATACGATACTCTTAACTTTTAGCAGCATTAAAGTATCTCTGTCTGGGTCCTGCTGCCCTAGAGCCTCTGTCTGCCCATCTGCCTGTGGCACTGCCTTGCCAGGGGAGGGGGAGACCAGGAGAGTGGGAGGGGTGGCTTGTCCCTGTGCCCCAGGCTGAGAGGACTGGCTCCAGGAAGATTGTTTGGGAAGTAGTGTCCCCAACGCAGTCAGCTGCTTTTCTGTGAAACTGGCTCCTAGTTCCTGTGACGACAGTGCTGCTTCATGGTGGATGTTTACCGATGGCATAGGACATCGTGTCTGCCTCACTGCAACACAGATCTGAGCTTTCTAGGTGGCCATGTTCATTACTGAGGAAGGTTTTACTTTACTTTATTAGGACTGACGGTTGCTGTGGACTCCTATTTTTGGCGATACCTCGTGTGGCCAGAAGGAAAGGTGCTTTGGTACAACACCGTCCTGAACAAAAGTTCCAACTGGGGAGTATCCTTTGAGTGTCTCTGCAAGAGGGTGGTCGGCCTGGATCGGGCAGCCGCCGTCCCCGGCCTCCCTCCAGCGAGTGGGAGGAGTTGCTTTTCCTCCAGCTGCGCCCTGGCGTGGCCGGGGTGGCTGCTGTGGGCTTGGGCCGGAGCCCCTTCCCCTGTCCGCGCCTGGGAAACGCCGGGCTGCAGGGCGGTGATGCTCCCCGGCTCCCTCTGCCAGTGCCATAGAAACAGCCCCGTGCTGTACAGCCCAAACTCTCCTTTAATCCTCACGACAATCCACTTTGTAAAGTGTTTTATCGTGGAATATTTCAAACATCCACGCAAGCGGAAAGAACCGTGTGAAGGACGCCCTGCTGCAGATGTCTCCCATGATAACCTATTTTTATAGTAAAAAAACGGAGGGGAAGAAAACCCTGGGCAGTGCCGGTGTGGCCGCAGCTGCCCTCCCTGCTGGGGCGAATGCACCCGTCCTGGCCTCGTCTGGGTCTGGAGGCACCGTGGGTGGTCCCGGCAGTGTCCTTCACCTCATCGCTCTTTGGGGCCTCTCCTCAGCCTCTGTCCTGTCACCCAGGCTGTGGTTCCATGAACTCGCCTGGTGACACGCACGTGGCCTCCTTGACTCCCCCACTGCAGACCTCCCCACTCCTGTGGTATTTCTACTCGGCCCTGCCCCGCGGCCTGGGGTGCAGCCTCCTCTTTGTCCCCCTGGGCGTGGTGGACAGAAGGGCCCGCGCGCTGATCCTGCCACCCCTGGGTTTCATAGCCCTGTACTCCCTCCTGCCGCACAAGGAGCTGCGGTTCGTCATCTACACCTTCCCGGTGCTCAACGTCGTGGCCGCCAGAGGCTGCACCCACGTGTGAGTGCTTCATCTGCGCGACACTCGCTTGTCAGGCTTCGCTGGAAACAGGTTTACTGACTTAGGATGGGGGGAAGGTTTTTAACAGAAAGATGAGAAGTGTTTAAGGATGCCTGCGTCAAAGGTGGCCCGGTCCTCTTTCCACTATGGTGGCTGTGTGGCTGCGCGCCAGGATGGCCCAGCAACGCGCCTGCCCATGGCTCTGCTGGGCTGGTCTCTTTCTCTGGTTAATTTGGTCTGTCTGTGCACGGTGCTGCGCCCAATCACCGGGGGGAAGGGACTTACATAGGTGACTGTCAGTCGAAGGAAGGGCACTTGGTGGGACGATCTCTCTGTGTCCTGTCCTGACATCCAGTCAGGCAGGGGCTCTCGGTTGAGGGTGTTTGTCCAGGTGGGTGACTGGCAGGAGGAGCAGACAGGTCTGGGAGGTGCCCTTGGCTCAGTGTAGAGGCCCAGTTAGGCCGAGGCTCGGGTCATGCGGAGGGGGGTGTTAGGGACAGGGGTGTCCAGCAGATGACGGGGGCAGGGCTGGCAGGGCATGGGGGTTGCTGGGCTGAGCATGGGCTGATCTGAGAGTGGCTGCCACTCACAGCGTCATGGGCACCAGGGGACAGGGCAGAGCCCATCACTGCCCATTTCCTTGTGTGAACGCTTGTCGTGCTGGATCGCAGACTCTTCAAACCCGTCGTGTAGACTGGGTTACAGTCCCCCCACATGCAGGTCGTGAGCTACGGAGTTTGAAACAGATCCAGTGAGCCGTTGGCAAGGCTGACGTGCTTTACTCGGACGTGAGCTCAGCCCCCTTCTCGAGCGTTGTGAGGAAAATGGAGACAGACTGGTCAGGCTCCCTCACCTCGTACCCGGCTGAGCATGGCTCAGTCTGATGTAATACGTTGACTGCGCATGTGCACCCAGGTGCTCCTTGGCTGTGTGACTCGAGACAGAGACAACAGCCCTGATCCGCTAGGGCCCCACGGCCACGCGTCCATTCAGGGCTCGCTGCGTTGGTGGGAACAGGGCTGGGGTGCTGAGGGGCACAGCGGGGGTCCCTAGAGGCGCACAGAGGCACTCGCCCCCGCTGCTGGAGGTGGCCCCGCAGGAGTCGGGCCCTCGATGGCTCCTTTCCCACAGCGCACCTGGGAAGGTGCTGCCTCCAGACGCGGCGGTCAGCCCCGCAGCCCCGCGGCCTCAGCGAGCAGTTTTACAAAGTCTGCCTTTCGCTTTTCTTCTCCCTTGGCTGCCTCCCGTCTCGGGGTAGGTGCAGAGCTCTGAGGGGTGTGTAGACCCCGACCTGAATCGTGGAAGAGACAGGGTGTCAAAAACAGACAAAGCTGGATGCTAGCTAAAGTGGCGAGGACACATCTTATTCAGCAGCAGACTTGGCAGCAGCGAAGGGGTCCGACATGAAGTGGACTCAGCGTTGTCAATACAGAAGGCAGGAGATGTTCCCAAAGCTGGGGTTTGTAGGGGGCTGCTCCGTGCGAGGAGGCCACCTGCGTGTGCTCGTTGGCTTTACCCGGGAGGAACAAGCTTCTCACGTCCTTGCAACAGGGCCGTGGTGCAGGATGGAGTGTGGCGCACCGATGTGAGGCCCTCAGCCCCGGGCAGGACTGGCAGTGAGAGCCGGGCAGTCTCCTGGGCTGTCTCTTCCAGACTCGGCCCCAGCCCTTGAGACGGCTCTGGGTGGTGGGGTTGCATCTCAGAGGGCAGAGAAAGGATTCGCAATGGCAAGCTTTTTCAAGTAACGGCTCCGAGGGGGCCTGTCCTCCGCCTGTCACCAGGTTTGGGCTGGAACAAGCAGAACAGCCCCGGGCAGCACGGAGCGCTCCCAGCAGGCACTTGGGGGTGCCACGGCCATCCCGGGGGTGCCGCCTCGAGCTTGTTAGAAACTGCCAGAGATTGTTCAAGTCTCATGGCCAGGGTGTGTGGTGGACAAAATCATTTGTGCTGAAACGCTGAGGTTTTTATAAGCCCAGGTCGAGAGAGGAGCCTGGCTGGTCTGGTCAAGGAGCGGGTCGTGGTTGAGGGTCCACTGTGAGTTTAGATCGGGGTCGGCAAACTTCTGTAAAGGGCCAGATAGTAAAGATTCTTGTCTTTGGGGCCACGCGTTCTCTGTTGCAGCTTCTACCTCCACCATTGCAGCAAGATCAGCCGCAGAACTTGTGTGGGGACTGGCAGC